CCTAGGCCCCCCATCCCTTTACAAACTACCTGGCTCGGTGCTGTGCAAGGTTTAGAAAACGTTCTGCACCCTGCTTGGGAAAAAACACAGACATTTCCTGAAACAGCACTTAAGAGAGAGAGTAACACTTCCCAAAGCGTTGCTGACTCTTTCCTTGCTTAAAAGAAAGCTCCCCTCCCTCACAGGGAGGAGGGGAGAGAGTAAGTCTATAGACAAACCATTCTTTCCTGTGTGTGGGGAAGCAGGCTAACCACAGGCTGGGAGGGAAATTGTGCAGCTCCTTCTGCTAGAAGATAAGCAGCGCTTCCCTATCTACCCCAAGCCAGCACCCAGGCACGGCTCCTGCCCTTCCAGGCTCAGAGACCAGGAAATGTGGGAATCTTGGGGCTACTGGAGAGAGCTCAATGCAAGCAGATCAACTCTGCTCTCTTTTGCTCTCTCAAATAATTTCATTTTCAGTTGGTGCTTGGTTTATGTCCTTCCAGTGCTAGCGAATGAGCTTGCGGTCAGAGAAGTTCTGCTTTGCCCTGAGCTGAAACCTGCTGTCATAGCAGGGATAAAGCCATTTTCCTCACTACCATAAGAAGCATCCAGCATTTGAGATAACAGCTTTTGAAACAGCACAGAAATGGTTACTAGTTTTGTCTTTTTAACACCGACAGTTTAAATAACTTTCACTCTTAGTTCAAGGATACTTGCTGGTGATAACTGTTTTCAAGGACGGTTTAAGACCTTCAGGTAGATGGGGAGGACACGGCGTGCAAACAGAACATGTTGAGCTATCATTTTCCAGCTACACGTGAGAAAGAAAAAATGAAGACAGCTGATTGCAGAACAGCATAGTCGGAATACAAGCAGGGAAGCTCAAATGCAAATGGGATAAAATGCTTGTTTATAAACTACTTATTGCTTGTAAATATGATTTTTGATGTATTTATTAGGTAAAATCATCAAAATCAAGGTTGTGATCTGCGTATTAGCAATGACACTCAGATTATTGCTAAGTGTTATCACTGTCCAGTTCTCATCATAGTATTTTATCACTAATAACAATGTATTTATTCATACTGCTTTGTGCACTCCCCAGGCTAAGTGGGATCTGTGACGATTACACTGTGAACACGTCAGCAATATTCCATCTGGGTCTCTGGGGAATATTAAGGGCATGCACCCTACCTCCATGGATGTCATGGTCAAAACTTTCAGCAATTTCACCAAGACCAGGGCCAAGGCTTGCAGGAGCTGCTCTGCTCTCTCTGCCGACGTAGTCCTGCTGCACCAGTCTCCAAGGTGGGGGCTTGGGAGCTCCCCATGGGTCAGAGCTCCATGGCTGGTCCTGACTCCTCATTGATTAATTCCCTGATCGCAGTACGTCTTGAAGTTGTTCCTCTTCTATTTCTACTGCTGCTTGTTCTTTTAGTAACATTTTTAAAGTCACCTTGCTCATCCTTAAATGTTGTAAGCCTTGAAGGTAAGATGCAGGATCTTTCCAGTATGACACTATAGCCTTTACAAGTGGAGGTTTACACCGTGAATGAAGACACTGTCCTTACAGCTTTGTCAATGCTTCACTTACATTTTTCCCATTTACCCTGGAAGACTCTCAAAAGACCTGGAAAATGCCTATACAGCAGTCACTTCACCCGCTCTTAAGAGCAGGCACTGCTCTAGCTGAGTGAAGCCACCTTTGTGGTCTCGTAGTAATACTGCACAAGCAGCAATGCCCAAAAGATTGAGAACAGATGACACTATAGATGTATAATGTGCCAGAGGATCTCCCAGGCAACTTCCAAAGCCCCTGGTCACAAGCATTGCAAGCGCTGAACACAGATAAGGTGCATTGCACAATAATTTGTTGCACAGCTGGCTGCCACTGTCTCCTGTGTTAAAGGGTTCTCCATGAGCACAATTTTGAGAGCCTTTGGTCTAGTTTTCTGTGCCACAGTTACTGCCTCTACTTAGACACCTTTTTTCTCCTTCCAGTACATGCTTGATTTTTTCCTCTATCTCTTCTTTCACCTCTAAATCATTTTCCTAAAACCTACACTTAAGCGTGATTATTCCCTCAGTTGCTCAATTACATCACCCCTTAAAATCCATGTAACATTCATGCATGAAGAATTCACTGTTGGATTCCCCCACCCTTTTTTTTTTTTTAAACCAAAAAATGAACAAGTAATGAAAGGGATAAACCCCCACAAAGTCTCAGTATTATCCTACTACACAGCAGCCACTGAGACAGCAAGTGAAAAGTAGCTTCTCCAACAAAAACGCTAGAGGAGGTTAAAAGAAATGTAGGTGGGTATTTGTCATCACACAAGCGTTATTGTACAGAGCTAGCATTAAACATGGGGTGATACCCTGCATATGTCTTTATACACCCAAACTGCAAGTCTGTGGGAATAAGAACACAGAATCTAAGCCAGAATTATTTGTAAACATGGGATAGATGAGATTTATATAACAGGCTACTGCAGATTTATGAATCCAGGAAAGGAAATAATTACAAAGGAAATGAAAGTTAAAAATAATCATGAACCACCAAAAAGACTGTGCTTTCACCTCTTTCTCTGGCAACGGAGTATTACACCCACTTGCTATGTGCCAGTTCATTCTTCCAGATAACCAGTAGGGCCAGGAATGGGGTCTCCAGTTTAAAAAAGAAACTTTACTTGGTAAATACTTCTCATTGTATGTTCAAAATAGGTTTTAGATTGCCTAGACAAAGAGCTTATACAATTTTCCTATACATCTAGCACAAAAAGTCTTCTAATAGTATGTTTCAGTACAATGCACTTCTTTTGAGAGCAGGAATAACGAAAAATAGGAGAAATTTAAGCACAAAAACTAAAGCTAACCTACCTTCTGATGACATTTATTACCAGCAGAACAGCATAAAATGAAATGTGTTGTTAGTAAAGTGATGCTGTAGAGCTATAAAATGTGAACACTGAAGGAATGGACATAACTGCTTCTAGATACCCTACAGGCAATTATTTATAGGGCTATAGACACCCAATAAATGCAGTATAAATCAGTAACGCAACTAGGCAGAAACAAAATGAGGAGAAAGTCAAGATGTAGCTCTAAGGTGCTGGATATTGCTGTTACCTCTGGTACACACGGTGGCACTGGGGCCATGACAGGGAGCAGGGAGGATGCCCAGGGGCTTTAGGGGCTTCCAAATATGCACCCAAAGCCAGACACAGGTCTTTAATGGATTCAGTGAACAGATTGTAGGCACAACAGGCTAAAGGAAATCTCTGGGACCATAATAACAGCAATAACTTCCTTAATAGCAACAATTTCCTTAATAGCAAGGAAGTTATAATCCATACAAAAAAAAAAATCCATACCGGAAAAGGAAGTGGTAACACAATTAAGCTTCATGTGCGCCCTTCTAGTGAGTGATGTAGGGGACAGGTGAGAAAGGTGGGGTTTTAAAATATTAAGTGAAGGATTTTGTGAAAAAACGTGTGCAGGTGCAACATAAGGACGCTCAAGTGTGTTTTACTGATTGCCAAGTGAGGGGATATCATGGGATCCCTACCTTTTTACTTGTTTTCATCTGTCATTTTTTGAAACTAAAAGTAACTATGTTTAATGGAAATAGGATTTTTAGTGCTGTCTGAAAACGGTTTAGATAGATTAATTTTAACAAGTGGTTGGTAAAAGCTTTTGGCTTCTGCAAGCTAAACCCTGGGCTTGCTGAACTCAGTCTTCATTTTATGTGGTTTGATGCCTGTTTCCTCACAGGATAATCAGTATGCAAGAGGTCTGAATGAGATGTGAGAGATCTTTCCTGGGCACTTGGCTAAACACCACCTGTTATGAAATGCAGTTTTTATTATCAGTGTTGGTTTACAATCACACTCATTAATCACACCAGAAGGAAAAGGTTTATAAAAATGATTGTTTGAAGAAACTACAATAAAACCTAACATGTTTTGTTAGTAATTCTCATATATCATTCTGACTGCTGATCAAAGTGATCAGTGTTTATATTGTTTAGTTTAGAGGAATATGACAGCATATCCTTTATCTAGGGTAAGTTATATTTGCTTTTAGATTTTATTTAGGGATTTAATGAAGAATGGCTTGATCCTTCTATATTTTTCCTATATTCACATAAGATCTGGGTACACTGCCAGTACTGAAAGATCAAGTATGGAATAAATTAGATCTGTAATTGATAACAAGTGACTTCCAGCTCTGGCAAATTATGTACTTAATATGAATTATTAATATTTATTTGTTTTCTGAACTGAGCATCTGCGATTTTATCCTTAGATTAAAAGAACCAAAGAATTTAAGATTTTGCCACTAAGCTAAAGGACGTGGGTGTTTCTGACCCACCGGCTGCTAGCTGCTGGCTAATGTTATAGTGAGCTTTTACAGTGTAGCAAATGTTTTGCATAAGGAGTATTTATATTTATTTATGTCTAAGCTCAGTGTTTGTTTTTGATGTAATCTAGAATGAACTTTTATAGTAAACAGTGATGTTATTTAGAGAAAGTGTAAACCAACCAGTACTTCCATTTATATACTCACAGCTCCAGCAACTTCAAAGCACTTGCTAAAGCACAGCTGAAGACAGAATTTAGTTTCATAAAATACAGATCAGTAGTAACATGCTTTTTTTTCCTATTTATTTATGATCGTTTTCTCAGAGCTGGGAGAACGAGGGGAATATTTTAAATTCAGAGTTGGTTCCTGTGCTGCTCTTGGTCCACCTGACCCAGAGCCCAGCCCAAGCTGCGAGATGCCCGTGTCTCTGCAGCTTCCTGTGATGCTGGACACAGCACCAGGAAAAGAGTTCCCCAAGGATACTGCTAAATCGCTCCCTGCAAGAGGATTGCTTAACAAGGGACTTTTAAATCCCATAAAGACTACGAAGGGACTCTTTACGGTTTCCTGATTAAATGAATTGTCTCAGAAAGTAACCGATGCCGGTGAATCAGCCCCTAGTGTGGCAGTGGTGAATGCCGGAGCCTGCTTACCCGGGCTTGCAGGAGGGCTGCTGCCGGAGCCTGGTTGCTTTGGGGGACGCAGATGGAGCGTTGGTGATGGGAGACGGGGCGAGGACAGGAGCAGCAGAAGGAAGGGAAGGCTCCAGGCTCTGCGGTCCCATCAGGGGCTGTGTCCCTGCCCGTTCTCACACTGCCCAGGGAGGGGGTCCTGGATCACTGCAAAAGGACGTCACCGGGATTACTGGGCTGAGAGAGAAACAAGATCTTTGCTACTTAAGCGATTGCATACGGCAGTTTAGTAAGAAGTTGCTGGCAAAAAGAAAATAATTGTTGGTAAGAGAGGCCTTCTGGTGCATTACTGAAGGAGGAGTGCTGCTGTGCCCAAGCCTGATTGCCTGATTCGTAGAGGTGGTCATGGCCATGAATATCCAGGTAGTGTCAGCTGGAGTGGCAACTGCTCCACTCCCCTGGAAAATGGCAGGAGTACCCAGCTGCCCCTTTACTTTAATTCAGTGAAAAATTCAGTGAAAAGTGAGTATGAATGTTCCCAGTCACGTTTTTGCTTTTGTTAAATAGTGTAATGCACCCAGCATCTTCCGGTTCTGTATAAATAGATTCTGGCAGCCTCAACATTAGCTTGACTTTGACCCTTGGCTGGCATCAACCAAAGATAAAACATAGGAGTTAAAAGACTTGGGAGCTTTCAGAACAATGTTCGGAGAAGTGTCTTCCACTGCAAAACAGGAGGCATAAATAATTTACAGATGATGCTTTTACTCAACTACTCCTCTTTCCTTACAAAGAAAGTCTTTGAGTTTTAGGCATAAAAATAAACATCGGGAGGCAAATGGGAATGCTACCTGATGTAAAATAAGTTAAAATATAGAGGACAGGGTTATAATTTTCCTTAACTTGAAAGTTACATGATGAGGCAACATTTATAAAACCTCTTTTCAATTCCCATGCTGATAACTAAAGACAGAACATCATACGCTGCAAAGAATTAAGGACCAAGTATTCTGTTTTCCAGACCATGAGAAAAATTTGGGCAAGCTTGAAAAGTTATACCCCAGGGAAAACATTCAAGCCAGGGCCATTCTTGCTGTGTGCACACATGCAGCACCACCAGAAGCTGCCAGTTTCCCCCCAAAAAGCAAACGTTCAGTATGTTAGAGGACTGAAAGAACACCCTGACCTAGCTCCCCCACTGCAAAATGTGAGTCTAGGTATGACAGTCATTATGTTACTCTACTTTTAAGGTACTGAATCATGTTATAGTGCATTATATTTCATCTGTTACTCTCAAGCCACCTCCAGAATGGCTTGATGTGTCAAAGCAAATTTTCTTGGTCCTTCAGATCTGAATCATCAACTAGATTACAGAAGGAAAAGGTGATTAATCAACTCCTTTTTCTCATTACCTGAGTGGTTTTGTTTATGTTAACAACATATCTTGAAGCTTTGATTATTTGTGTACCTCTTTACAAGTAATTTCTACAAATAAATTTCAAATGTCATATGTATTTAATTGTCTGGCATCAGCGTACAGAAGGAAGAGCTGAAAGCATCATTACTTATTGGGAAGAAAATGAAGCGAAAACTCCTTTAAGAGAGAGGAGGAAAAGAAAGCAGGAGGAAAATATCATGAGCCAATTTGTGGACACTCCCCCCAAAGGTCACGGGAGGCAATGGAAGGAATGAAACTGGTGATGGAAATCAGCAACACAGACAAACATCCCAAAAAATGCAATCTTCAAAAAAGCAGCAGGCAATCAGGCAGGGGTGCTGTGAGAATCCACAAACCTCACGTCAGGGCTAAGCCACAGCAACCACCAGCTCCGCTCACACCCACGCAACACTCCTGCCTCCAAGAAATGGCACTCACAGGGTCGAAACATCAATATAACGCCAAGTGCCCACCTGAAAAAAGAAAAGCCCAGCACCCAAGGCTTTCCATGGCTCCAGGCTGTGACACAGTGACCCTCTGCGGTCATCCCTGTGCAAGGTCCTGGACTTCAGAATTTGTTTAGACTGAGCCAGATGATGCTGACAAAATAAGCCTCAGGTGTAAAAAAAGGGGGATCTGAAAACTGAACATATACAGCTCTAATAATGAAATAAGACTGTTGCTGCTCGTTGCTAAAATTATTCTTTGTTATCAGTTTTGGAAACAGTTCTTATTATTGCTGCATAAGCAAAGGGACCAAAGACATTGAAAACAGCAATGCTGCTGGCTATCACAAGGCAAAAGTGAAACATGCTGTTAGATTGCATGTTATAAATACACACATGTACTAATTTTTGATATAAAGACAGTGGCATGTTGGACTTAAGCTGGCCGCTATTTAAAAATACTGTGTGGAATAACTTCTGTTCTTATCTGTCACACAAGTAGACTCAAAGCATTTCCTCTTCACCACCAGAATTGTGATAAGACCCAGAGTTTTAGCTACCCCAGCTTTTCTATTTCAATCCTGGTAACTTTAAATTGTGCTATTACAGCAAGACCAGAAACCATTTCTCTTTCTGCCTTATTTTGGTTGTTCTGGAGCACATTCTGCCCTGTAATTGATAGAGTTTAAAAATAAATCTAGTTTGGCCTTTTCGAACATAAAAATATTTTCTTGAGAAGAAAGTGTAGGTTTCTTTTACAGAGAAGGTAAATATTAGTGACCTTTGTGAAACAAATAGGTTCAAAGTAGTAGAGGGGTAAATATTTTTCCTTGTGTTAATGCTGCATTTCAATTTTCTTGCCAGGCCTGTATCAGCATTAAAGCTTTTCTTTCCATCTCTTACACCATACAAAGGCCCACCTTCCCCAAGCTCTAGTGCTAATTTTGAGCTAAAACGTCTTCATGTGACTTAGCTGCACGGTCCTCATTAAAGCCTTCAGGCACCATGTGGATAAAAACATTTGGAAGAGCCTCCTGAGACCCCGAGCATCCATCCCCTCGGCACAGCAGGTCAGAGCATCGCTGGAGCGCACAGCTCTAGCAACAGCGGGGAATGAGGTGGAAAGGGGGGGATTCGCTATGAAAACCAGAAGTATTTAAACAATATTTTTATTACTATGCCTAGTATGATGAGAATGTAATAAAAAAACACAAAGGATAAACCTTGTTAGATAACACTGGCTTTGATGGTAGTTCATCTGCTGGGTGGAGGATGCCTGAAGCTGTTCTGAGCACAGCACTGCCCAGCCGTGCTGCTGAGGATGCCAGGGCGCAGCCAGGGCAAGGGTTTGCCTCTGACTTGTAGCACTGCAAGATCGTGATGATGCTCGAGGGATAATCCCACCAATGCCTTTCTGTACCAGGTTAAGAGCTCTCACCAGGCTCCTAGGAGCATCCGTGCCCTTGTGCAGTGAGCAGCATCAGCTCACTGTTTGCCAATCCAGCTGAAAGCTGGCTCTGCAGGGAAAACCATGTGGTCCGCTTGAGCCAACACGGGAAGAGGCAAGAACACATGGCTTGTGCAGGGGAGCCACAAGCCCTCTGCTTAGCCGGGCTCAGCTTTACTTTGGCTCAAGTGAATCCATGCAGGTCTTGCTGTGAGGCCAGTGAGAGCAAGATCCTGGTTTAGGGGATCTGTGTTTCCCCTTCAAAGTGTTTATTTTTCAGGTACAGGGCAGCACAACCAATCTTCTAATCTAGGGGCTCAAGGCTGGGTACCCAAGGCTGCTGTCTAAAGCCCTGGGAGATACAGCAGGATGGAAGACAGAGCTCGGCCACCAGTCCTGACAGCGTGCAAGCACCACACGGCAGAGGCATCCACACACACGCAGCCAGTTCCCGCTCTGGTGTCCTCTGACACCCCACAAAAGCCTGCAGGTTGCACTCCTGGGTGACTTTAAAGAAACCTACTCATTTATCGTATTTTACTACACCTGACGGTGAAGTCATGCCCGCGCACGGCTTCAACAACGTCTGACAACTAACTTTTTATCCGCCTTGTCTTCTGTAGGCGAGTTTTGTCCCCCCGACTTGGAGGGACCAACCCGCGGACGGCAGAACGAGCGGCCAGAAGGCGGAATTACCCAGCGACACAGTGGGTAAACAACACACTTCGGGGCCTCCCAATTGCCGAAACGACCCAACTCCGAGCAAAGGGGAGAGCGGCCGGCCGGCCGGCGGCTGCCCAGCCCCTCAGCCCCTCAACCCCGCGGCCTGAGGGGCGGTCGGGAGCCCACAGCGCTTCTCCTCACGGGACGCTTCCAACGTGGTCGTGACGACGGCAGACAGGCCCGTCTGATCAAAAAGATTAAAATTTGCCAAAACAATTTAATAAATAATGGAAAAGGAAGACTAAAGTTACCAGACTGACTCCAACAGGCAACGCGACCACCAGGAGCCCGCCGGCTGGGCCGGCGCATGCGCGGCGCACCGCCGTGAGGGGGCGGGAGAGGCTCCCCCAACATACACACACACACAGAGCCGGCACCGCCTCTCGTGATTGGTGGCGCGCCCCGCTTCTTCCCGCCCCCGGGGGAGCCGCCACCTTCGCTATTGGCCCCGCCGCCCGGCGGCGCCTGGCGATTGGCTCCGACGGCGCTGCGGGCCGGCGGCGCTGCGGGGCGGGGTGGCCTGGCCGTCGCCGTGAGGTGCGGGAGGGCCCC